CCCCCCCCCCCCCCCAGAACGTGCCACCTTTCTGTGTTTCCTTCTCCCTCTTCCCATTTATGTATCAATTTCTGAGTCGATTATCAGCACTGGAGTCACGTCAATGAGCGATTCAGTCCCAGCCTCCAAGGAGCACAGAGCCGTAGATGCTACATGTCTAGGCCTGTTCCTCTGCTTCCCTGGAAGGCCCTGCCCCTTTCCCACCTATGGACATCCCACTCAGGCCGCCTCCTTTGGGAAGCTTCCCTGATCCTCCCAACCCTATTACAGCTCTTTTCTGCCTGGGAATGTGGTTGTTCACACCTCTGGCTTCTCCTCTGCCAGACGGCGAGCTCCTCCAGAGCAGCGTCTGTGTCTTTTCCATCCCTGTAGCCCCAGTGCCTAGCCCAAATATCTACTGAGCACACAGTAGGTGCTCAGTAAATATTTGTGGCCAGACAAATGGCACTGGAAGCCGTGAGAGGAGAGATCTGCAAGAGGGGGGGAGTGGTCCGTGGCATTGAATGAATGAATGAATTCCCTCTAGTCTCCCCACCGATTTTGCTTTATTCCATCTCAGGTGGCTTCTGTTTGAGCCTTTCCTTAACTCTGAACTTGGCTCAGTCATTCACTCCAGTGCGCTCGCTCCTGAGCTCTGTCATCAGCCGTCCTTCCATTCTTATTTCACTCAGTTACTTTATTGAGTGCCATCAATAACATCAGTGTTAGGCCCTGGACTGACCCAGAGCCCGAGGGATGGCCTAAACGCGCCCCCCACTAAGGGAGTCTGCTGCTCCAGACTGGGAACTCGGGGCTTATGCTTGCCTCTGCGTGATGGAGGTGTGAGCAGGCCACACTCTTCTGAAGGGTCCCGAGACCATGGTCAGTGAAGCATGCTGGCCCCCACGCCTCCCCTCGAGAAGGTACAGGCCAGGTCTCTCCAGGCACTGCGGTATCCCCTGTGTTTGGCACACAGTAGGCACTCAAGACATGCCTGCTGAATAAGTATATCTTTGGCCCTCCAAGCTAGGCCCTCGCCATGCTCTGAAAGCTTCCCTGATGGTTCCCTTCTCTATGCCCGTTCACGTCCACACAGCCCTTCAAGGTCCACCTGGGGTACCACCACCCCACCCCTCCAGCCGTCCCCTTGGCCGGTCTGGGGGGCTCTGACTTGTCCCCGGCGGAGAACACTGTGGGCTGGTGGGAGAACCATGCTGGAGACACCCAGCAGGGCGTCAGGAGGGCTGGCTTCTAGCCCGGCTCCGTCTTGAGCTCGCCTTGGCACCTTGGCGGGTCACTTCCCCTTCCCGAGCCCTCTTTTCCTCCCCTGTAAGGGAGCAGGCTGGACTCCACGATGTCAATGGTCCCTTCTGGCCAGTCTGATTCCCTGAACTGCAGCCCAGCCCAGCTGTGGCCTCACGCCAGACACAGTCCCACAGTGAAGTCAGTGGGCCAGTAAGCCCAGTACTCCTGCTGACAGGCCAGTTGGCAAGCGGCTAAGCCCTAGGCCTTCCAGCAGGGTAAGTGGGTGCTCCCTCCAACACGCCCAGCCTCTACTCACCAAGCCTGCTGGAGGCTGCCCAGCAGCTGAGATAATGTGGGTATAATTGGGGAACTTTCACCACACAAAGCCGGGAACAGGAAAAGCCAGTTGGGAAGGCTCTGGCCATGGTGTGGGGGGGTGGGTAGGGGTGTGGGCACCAGGATCTACCTTGGGATTGGTACCAGGGCACAGTGGGGCCTACAATGGGACACAGCCCACCAAGCCCGCTGCCACCCCATCTCCTTTCACTCACTGGGGATGTAGGGACAGGCAGGGTTCAGTGCCTGGAGCACAGGCTGACATTCATTCGCCACGTCCTCAGCAGTGACCTCACTCTGCAGCGCTGTGAGCCAGGAGGGGAGACGGCTGACTGCGGCCTGGGCGCGGGCAGGAGAGGCTTCTGCAAGGGGCTCAGGTGCCCCAGAAGCTCCCTCTCAGCCATCAGCGCCTCACCAGGCTGAGGTGGCCCTCCCCATCCCACGTCTGTTTTGGGGTTGAGGCTGCTGTCTCCTCTCCTGTGTGACTCTCCCAGAAGCAACCCCATGGCAGGCGGGGCAGCCAGGAAGGTGCCTGGGTGCCCGCTCACTGCGCACTAAGTGGGTTTCTGGGCTCCTGCCCCTCTGCCCCCGTGATGAGCGGGCAGGCGGGCGGGAGGACCTCTAAGGAGCCGGCAGATGCATCCTGACACGGGGCTCTCTGCCCACAGCTTACTGTTAGCCTTGTCTGCTATTTCCACCGTAAGCATCTCTGCCACATTTCTTGCCTCATAACTAATTGTCCATAAGGCAATTTTGCCGCAAAAGATAAAATAATAAAATATAAATGAGGGACATTAAAAAGGCCATAATGAAACAGGAGAAATGAGTAACAAAATTAAAAAGACCTTATTGCAAAATACAAAATATTTGAATTTAAAATGTGTGTAGGGACTTCCCTGGTGGTGCAGTGGTTAAGATTCTGCCTGCCGATGCTGGAGACACAGGCTCGATCCCTGGTCCAGGAAGATCCCACATGCCGCGGGGCAACTAAGCCCGTGTGCCACAACTACTGAGCCCACGCGCCACAGCTACTAAAGCCCGTGTGCCCTAGGGCTCGCGTGCCACAACTACTGAGCCTGTGTGCTGCAACTACTGAAGCCCGTGCGCCTAGAGCTCGTGCTCTGCAACAAGAAGAGCCACCGCAGTGAGAAGCCCACACACTGCAACGAAGAGTAGCCCCCGCTCACTGCAACCAGAGAAAGCCTGCGCACAGCAATGAAGACCCAATGCAGCCAAAAATTAAAAATAAATAAATAAATAAATAAATAAATAAAATGTGTGTAGATGCATGGCAATACCGTGCAAAGAACTGATTTTCTTTTGTGGGTTGTACTTGTCTAAGCAGTAAGCACTTGTCTTCCAAGTCTTTCGTTCATATTATTTTATACATTTGTTGATTTGTCTCCTCATTTGGTATCGAACTTTTTCTTTTCTGCTAAAATTTCTTCCTTCATTCAGAGAGGTATCAGTTTCCAAACACTAGGGTGCATGTTTGTAACTGAACTTTGTGTTGCGTTGGGAAAGCCTCTGCACTGCTGTGTGTTCTCAGCACATTGTCTTATGTCCATTGATTGATAGACTTTCCAAAAAGTTCTATGGGAAATGTAGGCTCAACTCTGTGCCTTTGAGGCCCTTGGCCTCTTTCTCCTCCAACGTAGTGTGTTTCAAAATACAAAACCAACTCTTGGGGAAAACCATCATCTTCTGTCAGCTTGATAAAGCCATCAGTAACGTCACTAACTGGAAGAAACGCTAGCGCATCTCAACTAGTTGAAACCAAACTGTCAAACCAAACTGTCAACCAGTTATTTTCTCTTTCACGGCAAAATTGCCTCATGGCCAATTAGTTATGTGGCAAAATGTTTGCAGTAAAAATGTTTCTGGTGAAAGCGCCTAGAACTGTTGCTGTTAGCAGGGCCGGTGAGGGAACCCTGGCGGGTGGGCATAAGGGAACGCTTGGAGTATGGGGTTTGGGGTCGCTGAGGGTGGGGAACCTAGAGTTGTGGAACTGGGAGGGGCTGGGAAGACTGGTAAGGGCTGAAGACCCTCCCTTACCTTTCCCCCCACTTTA